ATATAAAAATTAGGTCAGGCGAGGTGGTTCAAAAACTTAGTGAGGACAGTTGTGCCCGCCTGTAATCCCAGCTACTTGGAGACAGAGGTAGGAGGATTGCTTGAGCCTGGGAGGTCTAGGTTGCAGTGAGCTGAGATAGTGCCACTGCACTTTAGCCTGGGCAAGAAAGTGAGACTCTGTCTCAAAAAAAAAAAAAAAAAATTGACCAGGTGTGGTGGCTCTCCAGTAATCCCTTCTAACAATAACTATAATCCCAGCACTTGGGGAGGCCGAGGGGGCAGATCATTGTATGGGAGGCCGAGGCAGGTGGATCACCCGAAATCAGGAGTTTAAGACCAGCCTGAACAACATGGTGAAACCCTGTCTCTACTAAAAATACAAAAATTAGCTGGGTGTGATGGTGGGCGCCTGTAATCCCAGCTACTTGGGAGGCAAAGGCCTGAGAATCGCTGGAACCCAGGAAGTGGAGGTTGCAGTAAACTTAGATGGCACAATGCACTCCAGCCTGGGTAACAAGAGCAAAACTCTGTTTCAAAAATATATATATAAATATAAAAATTAGCCAGGCATGGTGGTACGCACATATAATCTTAGCTACTTGAGAGGCTGAGACACTAGAACCTCAGGGAGACAGAGGTTGCAGTGAGCTGAGAACTGTACTCCAGCCTGGGTTACAGAGCAAGACTGTCTCAAAAATAATAATAATAATATTTTTTGATCATATCTGTGCTATAAAATTTTAAAACTTCAAAATGTTGTACAGTGAAAAGTCAGTTTCCCTCCCACTGCTGACCTGAGTCCTGTAGTTTCAGTCTCCTTCATTGGGGCCACTTTGTGTTTTGGTTGTTGGTTTTTTGTTTTGTTTTTTAGTACCCATTCAGAGAGAGTGTATTGATATACAAGCCTAAACACAGATAGCTGTAATATACATCCCTTCTCCCTTCCACAAACAGTACCATCATTGTGCACCATATGTGTTCACTTGCCAATTTACCATGTAGCTCTTTCCCATCAGAAGCTTTTTTTTTTTTTTTTTTTTTTTTTTTTTGAGACTGGAGTTTCGCTCTTGTTACCCAGGCTGGAGTGCAATGGCGCGATCTCGGCTCACCGCAACCTCCGCCTCCTGGGTTCAGGCAATTCTCCTGCCTCAGCCTCCTGAGTAGCTGGGATTACAGGCACGTGCCACCATGCCCAGCTAATTTTTTGTGTTTTTAGTAGAGACGGGGTTTCACCATGTTGACCAGGATGGTCTTGATCTCTTGACCTCATGATCCACCCGCCCTGGCCTCCCAAAGTGCTGGGATTACAGGCTTGAGCCACCGCGCCCGGCCAGAAGCTTTTTTTAAAGGCCATCTAGAATTACCTTAATTGGATGTACCATAGTGTTTTTAACCAGCTCTCCAGTGATGGACATTTAGCTTGTTTCCATGGTAGTGACGACTTAAAGGATTCTCTCCCAGATGAAGTAATTGTTTCCTATATCTTCTGGCTAATAGTGTGTACAATTTTTATGTAACTTCCTATTCCTTTCTTTTGCAGTCCCCTTCACTGCCAAGACCTGCTCATTCATTTCTGTCTGATTCAACTGACACATTTTTTTCTTGTTTCCTCAGACACTTCAGTTCTTTTTTTTTTTTTTTTTTACCCCGAGATGGAGTTTCGCTCTTGTTACCCAAGCTGGAGTGCAATGGCGTGATCTTGGCTCACCGCAACCTCTGCCTCCTGGGTTTAGGCAATTCTCCTGCCTCAGCCTCCTGAGTAGCTGGGATTACAGGCATGCGCCACCACGCTCAGCTGATTTTTTGTATTTTAGTAGAGACGGGGTTTCACCATGTTGACCAGGGTGGTCTCGATCTCTTGACCTCGTGATCCACCTGCCTCGGCCTCCCAAAGTGCTGGGATTACAGGCTTGAGCCACCGTGCCCGGCCCACTTCAGTTCTTTACAAGCAATTCTCCAGACATGTTCTAGTCATATTCCTGGCCCCAGGCCTCTCCCTACTTTATTTCATTGTGTTTTTTTGATACAAGGCCTCACTCTGTCCCCCAGGGTGGAGTGCAGTGGCCCAATCACAGCTCACTGCAGCCTCAAACTCCTGGGCTCAAGGGAGCCTCTGTCTGTCTCAGTCTTTCGAGCAGCTGGACTATGGGCGTGTCTACTATGCCTGGCTCATTGCTTCAATTATGCCACTTCGTTAGTATTGATAAATTTTATGCAACCTCTCTTTATTTATTTATTTATTTATTTATTTATTTATTTTTGAGATGGAGCCTTGCTCTCAGCCTAGACTGGAGTGCAGTGGCATAACCTCAGCTCACTGCAACCTCTGCCTCCCAGGTTCAAGTGATTCTCCAGTGTCAGCCTCCCAAGCCGCTGGGACTACAGGTGTACCCACCATGTCTGGCTAATTAACCCCTAATTATATACTAAACTCAAAATCTACACTCTAGACCAGAGTGAGAGAAGAGGGAAGGATACTAACACTGAGTGTCTATGAACATGCCCAGTGCTTTGCAGACATCATTTCACCTAATTGTCTTCCAAAGCTTGCAGTCGTAGGTGGTATTATCCCCACTTTATAGCCAATAGAACAAAAGCTTAGAGAGATTAGTAACTTGTCTATGGTTATCTAGCTGATATTTAGCTGGTTGAGCTAGGATAAAAATTCTATTTTTTTCTTTCTCTTTTTTTGGTTTTTGAGACAGAGTGTTGTTCTTGTTGCCCAGGCTGGAGTGCAATGGCGCTATGTTGGCTCACTGTAACCCCACCTACTGGGTTCAAGTGATTCTCCTGCCTCAGCCTCCTGAGTAGCTGGGATTATAGGCGTGCACCACCATGCCTGGTTAATTTTTGCATTTTTAGTAGAGATGGGGTTTCACTATGTTGGTCAGGCTTGTCTTGAACTCCTGACCTCAGGTGATCCACCCTCTAAGGCCTCCCAAAGTGCTGGGTTTACAGGCATGAGTCACATCACCTGGCCCTCTTTTTCCTTTTGAGATGGGTTTTGGTGTGTTGCCCAGGCTGGAGTACAATGGTGTGATTCCAGCTCACTGTAGCCTCGAACACCTGGGCTCAAGGAATCTTTTCAATTCAGCCTCCAAATAGCTGGGACCACTGGCATATGCCACCACACCTAGTTAATATATATCTATTAGAGATGGGGTCTTACTATGTTGCCCAGACTGGTCTGGAACTACCGGTCTCAAGTGATCTTCCCACCTCACCCTTCCAAAGTGCTGGAGTCACCGTGACCACCCAATTCTCTTTTTTCTAGTTGCAATGCACACACATTAAAATTACCGAGCCACACTGTTCCTAAATGGAGATAACATCATCCAGTTCATGGTGCGGTGAGGATTAAGTGAAAACATTTATGTGAAAACACCTTCCCATGGCTATCTCCTTCCCATCATTCACACCTCAAAATGCCACCTCCTAAGAGAGGAATTCCCTGATTACCCTAGCCCCAAAGTAGCAATCTTTCATCTTTCATGTAATCCCATATTGTCTAACTCTTTATCCCATTTTAGTTTGCTTAAAGCATTTACCACTGGCTGAAATTACTTGTACATTGTTTATGTGCTTTATCGCCTGTTTCTCCTAACTAGAATGTCAGTTCCAGAGAGTAGGACTATGTATACCTTGTACATTGCTTTGGCTTAATATGTGAATGCTCAATAAATATTTGTTGCAGGAATGAAATAACAGCTCAGTTTGTAGAAGGAACTGTTTTTCTTACTTTTGGCTTCTGTGAATAGCATACACACAAAAATTCAATACAAATCAATTCTAGCCCATTCAAATTGCCAAAAAATGAAGGAGACATTTTACTCAAAGTAGGAAGTAAAAAAAAATTTAGCAGGGCATAGTGGTACACACCTGTAATCCCAGCATTTTGGGAGGCCAAGGCAGGTGGATCCCTTGAGCCCAGGCATTTAAGATCAGCCAGGGCAACATGGTGAAATCTCATCACTACAAAAAAAAAAGATGCAGTTGTACAGTACACGCCCATAGTCCCAGCTACTTGGGAGGCAGAGGTGGGAGGATCGCTTGAGCCTGGGAGGTCTAGGCTGCAGTGAGCTGAGATTGTGCCACTGCACTTCAGCCTGGGCAACAGAGTAAGACCCTGTCTCAAAAAAGAAAATTTGGCCAGGCGTGGTGGCTCACCAGTAATCTCTTCTAAAAAGAACTATAATCCCAGCATTTTGGGAGACCAAGGCGGGCAGATCACTTGAGGTCAGGAGTTCAAGACTAGCCTGGCCAGCTGGTGAGCTGACTCAAAATTACAAAAAAATGCAAAAATTAGCCAGGCATGGTGGTGCATGACTGTAGAAACTAAGGCAGGAGAATCACTTGAACTCGGGAGGCGGAGGTTGAAGTGAACTGAGATCATGCCACTGCACTCCAGCCTGGGCAACAGAGTGAGTAAAACTCTGTCTCAAAAAAAAAAAAAAGAAAGAAAGAAAGAAAGAAAAGAACTTAAAAAACAACAACAACAAAAAAATTAAATCCTCATAACACCATGAGGTAGGTATTAACATCATGGGCAGAGGAAATCAAGGCTCAGAGATATTAAATTACTTGTCCAAGTTAGTAAATGAGGAGCTAGGATATGAACTCAGGTTTTTTTGGACCCAAAGCCCATGTTCTCAACCATTAAACTAGACTGTGTTATGCAAATGAATTGGGTGGATATAAGCAATCAGATCTAAGACAATTTTGCTTTTAAAAAAATTTTTTTAGATGGAGTTTCCTGGGCTCAAGAGATCCTCCCACATCAGCCTCAGAGTAACTGGGACTACAGGCACACACCAGTGTGCCCTGTTCAATTTTTTGCTTTAAATAAAGTAGTCTGGGACATTCTTAGACCACTAATCTCTTCTAAAAAGAACTGCCCACCAAAAACCTGGTATTCTTTGCGATAAATGACTGGAAACTCTGTGAAGAAAGGTTATTAATTTTGTTTGCAGTCTGGTTCTGAAGCATCAAACCATGTCATACCTGGGCAGCCTCATAAGTGATGGTCTTGGTCTCAGTGTGGACAATAGGGACATCTTTGGTTGGGATTTCACTTTTCACAGCATTGGCATTATCTGAGATTGTGACAGTTTGAGTCTTCACCAGGGGAGGCTATGAAGCAGTAAGGAAAGAGAGTTACTAGAGTGTTTCTGAAGGTAGTGAAGAAGTAATCTTCTGACACTGATCTGATCAAAGTGTTAGCTTTGATTAAGTAAACGGCCAGCTCAATCTCCAAAGGTGTTTACTCTGCCCCAGACTTCAACAGTATTCCAAAGTAACCCTGACAAGGTGTCAAATTATGAGGGATATTAAAAAACAGCATTACTGTAATCACTTTCATAAGCTTAATGGAAAGCTGTTAAGATCAGACAGTTATGATTGGTGATATCAAACACTTTAGACTGACCTTCGGAATCTGAATATAAAACGATTTGTCAAATAGCAATCACTTTGATTTGTCTTTGTGTCTGTACCATTATAATTAAGAAAATCAGCCACATTTTCCCCACTAAGTACAAATGGTACATGAAACAGCAGTGGCAATGGAATGCATTACCCTCAAATTAATTAACTTCTTTCAAATCAATGTCAGACATTCACTTTGGAGTTATTGAGAAGAGACAGTATTTGGAAAACTGGAAAGAAAAAAAAAATCAGTTCAACCACCACCTGGTGATTAATCCCAGAATTTCAGAAGAATGAACATTAGAGAATAACAAAGGCCACCTTATCCATTTGCTCACCTTCCCCAGGAGTATAAATCACCCTGAAACTACCAATTGATTGTGGGACAAGGTTAAGTGGCCAACCACCTTAGCATAGGAAATCAGTGCCTAGGATCCTAGAGGTCCCTTGGGTGGGAGTGGTGGGCTGCACAATGTGGCTGCAGTACATAAATTATTTGGGGCCTGAAATCTCATAAGATGAGTTGCTCCTTTAATTAAGAGTATTTGAATTTTTTGAGCATGGTCTTAGAACGCTGAAGCCTCCTCAGAAGTCACTGCAATTCACCTCTTTCCAAAGCTCACACTTGAGCAATGAAAAGATGAACCCACTTAAGCAGCTTCATAAAGACCAATAACTGGAGTTTTGTTAAGTCATTAGAGAAGAAAGCATTTCTGGCCATGGAATTAATTGCTCTGAATGAATCTCTTTGGCACAATCAAAGGCTTTAATTTTACTCTGTGATTTTGAAAACAGCAGGGAGGCCACTACCCTCACCACACCACCACCACCTCTTCCACAGGACAGATTCTGGTCCTTTTCCAAAGAGTCATTAGACCTGCATCATTGAGTAAGTTACTACCTGGAAACTTCGAATGAGGGTGGGGAACTGGAACTGGTTACCCACATGAAAGTCAAGAAATGATCCATTTTGTTTTCCAAGTGGCTCTCCTGGTGTGACATGTTCTCCACTACTCTCTGCCTTTTTTTCACCAGGTTGTAGCTGACAGGAAGCTGGTGTTCCTGAGAACTTTAAGGCACTGGCCTGTTCCTCCACTCCTATAGATTCCCCAGTTGGGCCTTTTGGCATCTCCTTAATATCAAGATAGCCAGCTGCCCCCTCCTCCTTCTCTTCTGCCTCCTTGCTGCTTATGGAGAGGGAGCCAGAGGCAAAGCTTTGCAGAGACTCCGACGGGGTGGTCATCTGGCTTTTACTAGGAACTACTGAATGCTTGGGACCCTCCCATTCAGAGTCAGGGTTAGTAGATGGCCCCTTTGTCACGACAGTCACCTCCTCTGTGCGAATGCCATTTATACTCTACAAATGAATGAACACGGACAAAAACAAGAAGATTAGGTATAAGTGGGGGAATGAACTCTGAGAATCAACAATTATTTTGGAAGACTCAAGAATATTGCTACTAATATAAACTAAGAATCTTTTTTTTTTTTTTTTTTTTTTCTCCTGAGACGGAGTTTTGCTCTTGTTACCCAGGCTGGAGTGCAATGGCGCGATCTCGGCTCACCGCAACCTCTGCCTCCTGGGTTCAGGCAATTCTCCTGTCTCAGCCTCCTGAGTAGCTGGGATTACAGGCACGCACCACCATGCCCAGCTAATTTTTAGTATTTTTAGTAGAGACGGGGTTTCACCATGTTGACCAGGATGGTCTCGATCTCTTGACCTTGTGATCCACCCGCCTCGGCCTCCCAAAGTGCTGGGATTACAGGCTTGATCCACCGCGCCCGGCCCTAAACTAAGAATCTTAACTGATAACATGGTCAAAAGGAAGAACTGCTGTTCACTACACATTATCAGCAGCTTAAGCAGTTCCAACCTCATTTTAGTCCTATTTTTATATCATTGTTAATCTGAAAAACAATTATCCAGCAATCTGTATTTCTATAATCTTCCTTGTGTAACATACTTAAAGGAGTTATGTTGTCATTCCTAAATTCCTAACTTATTACTATGCACGGGACACAACATAATTTGTGAGTCAATCAAAATATATTATTTTGTTTTATTTTATTTTATTTTTTTTTTTTGAGACAGGGTCTCACTCTGTCACCCAGGCTGGAGTGCAGTGGTGTGTCCATAGCTCACTGCAGTCTTGAATTCCTGGGTTTAAGGGATCCTCCTGCCTCAGCCTCTAGAATAGCTAGAACTACAAGCATGTACCACAAAACCTGGCTAAGTTTTAAATTTTTTTATAGAAACAGGGTCTTACAATGTAGTCCAGACTGATCTCAAACTCCTGGCCTCCTGTAATCCTCCAACCACGGCCTCCCACGGTGGTGGGATTGCAGGCAAAACATTTTTTCTTTTTTTTTGAGACAGATTATCTCTCTGTTGCCCAGGATGAAGTGCAGTTGCACAATCTTGGCTCACTGCAACCTCCACCTCCTGGGTTCGAGCAATCCTCCTGCCTCAAACTCCTGAGTAGCTGGGATTACAGGTGCTCGCCACCAAACTAAGCTAATTTTTAATTTTTTTTTTTTTTAGTATAGACAGGGTTTCACCACATCAGCCAGGCTGGTCTTGAACTCCTCACCTTGTGATTCACCTGCCTCAACCTCCCAAAGTGCTGGGATTACAGGCATGAGCCACTGTGTCTAGGTGCAAAACATATTCTTGAGGAAGCTAATCAGGTTGTAAATGTTTTAGATTTCCAAACCATATGTATCCTCACACTAGCCCTGCATGGAGAAGCTAAAATCTAGACTAGTTGCCAGAGAGACATAAGTTGAGTACATCTAGCACAGGCTTACTTCAATCACTGTCATGACATCAAACATGATATTATAAACAGTGAAATGTGGCCGGGCTCAGTGGCTCATGCCTGTAATCCCAGCACTTTGGAAGGCCAACGTGGATGGATTACCTGAGGTCGGGAATTTGAGACCAGCCTGACTAACATGGAGAAACCCCCGTCTATACTAAAAATACAAAATTAGCCGGGCGTGGTGGCGCATGCCTGTAATCCCAGCTACTCAGGAAGCTCAGGCAGGAGAATCACTTGAACCCAGGCAGTGGAGGTTGTAGTGAGCCGAGATCACACCATTGTACTTCAGCCTGGGCAACAAGAGTGAAACTCCATCTAAAAAAAAAAAAAAAAAGTGAAATGTTTCTTTGTAAACAATTAAAATTACCCAGCAGCTGAAATGACACAACACCTCCAACCTCTAAGAGAAATCCTGGAAACACAGAGTTCCCTCCTGGGTGGAATACCTCACTCCACAGGAAAGAAACAAGTTCTAAAGCAAGTAGAGTCAGCACTCTATATTGGTTGGTTCTACATCCATGGATTCAACCAACCATGGATTGAAAGTATTTGAAAAAAATTACACCTATGCTGAACATGTACAAACTTTTTTTCTTGTCATTGTTCTCTAAAGAATACAGTATAACGGCTGGGTGCAGTGGCTCATGTCTGTAATCCAGCATTTCAGGAGGCCAAGGCAGATGGATTACGAGGTCAAGAGATGGAGACTATCCTGGCCAACATGATGAAACCCTGTCTCTACTAAAAATACAAAAAAATTAGCTGGGTGTGGTGGCGTACGCCTGTAGTCCCAGCTACTCAGGAGGCTGAGTTAGGAGAATCGCTTGAACCCAGGAGGTAGAGATTGTAGTGAGCCAAGATTGCGCCATTGTACTACAGCCTGGGCGAGGGTACCACACTCCATCTCAAAAAAAAAAAAAAAAAAAAGAATACAGTATAACAAATATTTACATAGTGTTTATATTGTATTAGGTATTGTAAGTAATCTAGAGATGATTGGAAGATATGCATAGGTTATATGTAAATACTATGTCATTTTATACCTAAGACTTGAGTATTTGTGGATTTTGGTTTTCAGGGGATGTCCTGGAATCAAGTCCCCACAGATACTGAGGGACCACTGTACATGGAAGAGAATGTGGATGAGAAGATATAATCACGGTAGATGGACCTATTCCTAAAGTTAAAAGAAAGGTGCTCTAGGTAGAAGAAGGAATTCACACTAGTAGAAAATGAATGAGTCATTTGAAAAATAAATAACCTTACCACAAAAAGAATAAAATACCTAGGAGAGCCAGGTAACCAGGAACGTTAAAGATCTGTACAATACTACAGGGCTATAGTAACCAAAACAGCATGGTGGGCTGTGCATGGTGGTTCATGCCTGTAATCCCAGCACTTTGGGAGGCTGAGGTGGGCAGATCGCCTGAGGTCAGGAGATTGAGACCAATCTGGTCAACCTGGCAAAACCCCGTCTCTACAAAAATTTAAAAATTAGCTGGGCATGGTGGCACATGCCTGTAGTCCCAACTACTTGGGAAGCTGAGGCAGGAGGATCGCTTAAACCCGGAGGGCGGAGGTTGTGGTGAGCTGAGATCACACCACTGCACTCCAGCCTGGGCAACAGAGTGAGACTCTGCCTCAAACAAAACAAAACAAAAACCCTAACAAACACCAGCACGGTATACTGGTATAAAAACAGACAAATGAAACAGAATAGAGAACCTAGAAATAAGGCCACACAACTACAACTATCTGATCCTCAGCAAAGCTGACAAAAACAAGCAATGGGGAAAGAATTCCCTATTCAATAAATGGTGCTGCAATAACTGGTTAGCTATATACACAATCTTGAAATTGGATCCTTTCCTTACACTATATACAAAAGTCAACTGAAGATGTATTAGACTGGGCCGGGTGCGGTGGCTCAAGCCTGTAATCCCAGCACTTCGGGAGGCCGAGGCAGGTGGATCACAAGGTCAAGAGATCGAGACCATCCTGGTCAACATGGTGAAACCCCGTCTCTACTAAAAATACTAAAAATTAGCTGCGCATGGTGGCACGTGCCTGTAATCCCAGCTACTCAGGAGGCTGAAGCAGGAGAATTGCTTTAACCCAGGAGGCGGAGGATGCGGTGAGCCGAGATCGCGCCATTGCACTCCAGCCTGGGTAACAAGAGCAAAACTCCGTCTCAAAAAAAAAAAAAAAAAAAAAAAAAAAAAAAGATGTATTAGACTTAAATGTGGCTGGGCATGGTGGCTTACACCTGTAATCCCAGCACTTTGGGAGGCCCAGGTGGGCAGATCATGAGGTCACGAGTTCGAGACCAGCCTGACCAATACGGTGAAACCCCGTCTCTACTAAAAATACAAAAATTAGCTGGGTGTGGTGGCATGCGCCTGTAGTCCCAGCTACTTGGGAAGCTGAGGCAGAAGAATTGCTTGAACCCAGGAGGCAGAGGTTGCAGTGAGCCAAGATCACACCACTGCACTCTAGCCTGGGAGACAGAGTGAGATTCCATTAAAAAAAAAAAAAAAAAAGAGCCGGGCGCAGTGGCTCACGCCTGTAATCCCAGCACTTTGGGAGGCCGAGGCGGGTGGATCACGAGGTCAAGAGATCGAGGCCATCCTGGTCAACATAGTGAAACCCCGTCTCTACTAAAATACAAAAATTAGCTGGGCATGGTGGTGCGTGCCTGTGGTCCCAGCTACTCAGGAGGCTGAGGCAGGAGAATTGCCTGAACCCGGGAGGCGGAGGTTGCAGTGAGCCGAGATCGTGCCATTGCACTCCAGCCTGGGTAACAAGAGCGAAACTCCGTCTCAAAAAAAAAAAAAAAAAAAAAAAGACTTAAAAACCTAAAACTAATAAAAACCCGGGAAGACAACCTATGCAATACCATTCTGGTCACAGGATAGGAACTGGTTATAAATTTTTCGAGACAGAGTTTCGCTCTGTTGCCCAGGTTAGAGTGGTCTTGGCTCACTGCAACCTCCACCTCCTGAGTTCAGGCGATTCTCCACCATCAGCGTCCAGAGTAACTGGGACTACAGGTATGTAGCATCACACCCAGCTAATTTTTGTATTTTTAGTAGAGATGGGGATTCTCCATGTTGGCTAGGCTGGTCTTGAACTCCTGACCTCAAGTGATCTGCCCGCCTTAGCCTCCCAAAGTGCTGGGAGCTAACCTAGCTAAGAACTGGCGAAGATTTTATGATGCACCTAGCTAAGAACTGGTAAAGATTTTATGATGAAGATGCCAAAAGCAATTGTGACACAAGCAAAAACTGACAAATGGAATCTAATTAAACTTAAGAGCTTCTACATAGCAAAAGAAACTATCAATGGAGTAAACAACCTACAGAATTGGAGAAAATATTTGCAAATTATGTGACAAAGGTCTAATATTCAGCATCTATAAGAAACTTGAAGTTTACAAGAAAAAACAACCCCACTAAAAAATGGGCAAAGGACACAAACAGACACTTTTCAAAAGCAAACAGACATGTAGCCAACAAGCATAAGAAAAAAGGCTCAG